CCGCGCTCTCACCTGCCACCACGCGCACCGCACCCTCCAACTCGTCGCGGGACCTGCAGCCGCCGGGCCAAGGGCGAGTGCGACACGCAGCGCTCCGCCATTGGCCACCCGCCGCACGTGACACCGCCGCCCCAGCGCACGTGGAAGGCTGTTGTTACCCACCGCCGCTCTGACGTCACTTCCGGCCGGTTGGCAGAGGGAAGCGGAAGTGGGGCGGCCTCGGCGGGGGAGGGCCTCGGGCCGGCCGGGCCGGGCAGCCCCGCGAGGCGCGTCCCTGGCGCTCCCCCTCCCGCCCGTCCCCCGCCATGCCCCGATACTGCGCAGCCTCCTGCTGCAAGAACCGGGGCGGCCAGAGCGCCAGGGACCAGCGCAAGCTCAGCTTCTACCCGTGAGTGCGGCCGGGCGCGGAGCACTGCCCCTTCCCCGCGGCCTCCGGTTCCGTCGTCGCTCCGAGCCCTGGAGGCTGACGTCGCTCCAAAGCATGGATTACTGGCAGCAGGGCAGGGGCAGTTCTCAACCGGGGAAGGTCATTTCCCCAGGCTGGGTCAGGGGATGCTGGAAGGCCCCGGGGTCACAGGAGGCAGCAGTGCTCCCCGGGGATCCCACCCTGGCCGTCCTGAGCAGGGAGCTGGGGGAGCAGTCAGGTCCTTTCCCTTCAGAGCCAGGAGAGGCTGCCCCTCCTCGCTCCCCTGCAGCCTCCTCAGGACATCCTGTAGACTAGGGAGAGGGAGGGCAGCCACTTAGAGTCAGTGAGGCAACACAAGTCTCTTTCAAGTCTTCTGACCTAAAGCTGCCCCAGGTGTGGACAGGGGAAGCCTTGCTGGAGCCCAGGGGTCCTGTGGAGGCCATGCCTGACTCCTTTCCTTAGAGGCAAGAGAGAGCCTCTGGGAAATCAGCCCAAGTAGGGGCTGAGAAGGCCTCCAGCCTGCCCTCAAGAGGCTTTGTCCCATTCTTTGTATGTGCAGCAAGGTGTACACAGCATTTGTTCCGTGCATCATTGGTTGTCACAGGCATACAGGGCAATCTGGTGTTACATGCAAGGGTTCCAGTGAGGGGTGGAGAACATGCTGCCCATGGTCTTCCATGAACCTTTGCCTTGAAACTGTCCAAGCTGCTGTCAGACAGACCTGTGGAAATCTCATTAAGGGAGGTGCAGCGCTGCCCTATATCACAACCTGGAGAGAGCATGCTGTTGAGGCATAGGTTGGAGGGTGAGATGTAGAGAATCATACAGAAGTCAGGCTGGAAAGGACCTCTGGAGGTCACTGAGTTCAACCCCTTGCCTGAGGGAGGACCATCCCTATCTAAACAATCCCATGCAAACCATAATCTAAACTCTACATAAAACTACCGTCAACCCTGACAAAATATAGATCTAACACCCTAGCCTGCCACAGGTAAAGCAGGGGAACCACAGCAGCCAATGTCTTGCTTCTATGAAATATTATCAACCTACACTTAAAAGATCCCAGGTAGAGGGCAACACTCCCCAGCTACAAGAAGAAGTCAAAACCCCCCACATACCAATCTGACAATGGGGTAAAATTCCTTCCTGACTCCATACAGCAATGCTGACCCTAAATATGGCCAGGTAGCTACTTAACTCAAAATGCACATCTCAGACCCAGGGGTGCCTACGCACATGCAGCGAGGCTACTCCAACGTGCTGTAATTACAGTGCGTCAGAGCAGGCTCAGTGAATTGAGTCTGCTGGAGCGTGGTAATTACTGTGCTCCAGTGTCCCAACACTGAAAAATGGCAGCAGGGTTGCTTTAACTAAAGATTGTTCAGTGAGCTTTGATTAAAGCGCCCCTGCTGCCATTTATCAGCATAGGGATGCTGATACACATGACACTCCAGGCACTTCAATTACAGTGGCTCTCCAGGCACTTTAATTAGAGCGGTACTCTAAACCCCACCAATGCACACTTCATCTTCCTGTGTTGTTTTGCTACCATCTTCTCCACGTCCTCAAACCCCTGTTCCTTGCATCTTAACATTGAACCTCCTGCCTTCTTGCATGCAAAAAAAATATTGTGCACTTTTACTATTAGGCATGTAGCTTTGACACTTTGAAGTTAAGGTGGTGGCTCAAGTGTGATAGCAGCTGAAAATAAGTTCATGTGGAGCTGGGAAGTCTGAGAAGTCTAAACTGATTTTGTGCTGATATTTTTAAACAAGGTTTCCGCTTCATGATAAAGAAAGGCTTGAGAAATGGTTGCGGAATATGAAGCGTGATGCATGGACTCCCAGTAAGCATCAGCTCCTGTGCAGTGACCACTTTACCCCTGACTCCCTCGATGTGCGATGGGGTATACGATACTTGAAACAAACTGCAGTACCGACTATTTTCTCTTCACCAGATGATCAGGTAAAGTGTCACTTCAGTATATCTTAATATTTGTATAATTTTCACATACATTCTTAATATCCACAGAAATAAAATTTTGAATATGTATATATTCTAAAAAAATAGACTTCTGATTCTTTACAGTAGTATTTTACAGTGATAGGAGAGGCATACAAAAACTGTGACAAGATGTATGCAAAATTCCCTCTTGTAAAACCAGTTAGAAAGGAGAACAGTCCATTTTTACTGGAAATCTTCAAAGTTTTTCTGTTAGGCCATTTCTGTCCAAATAATAATGCTTCTTTTTACAACTGCTATTTTGTCTCAGGTAACTGATTTTGTTATCTTGTTGTCAACAGATGTAATTTTATGGTATTAACTACTGACTTTTACAGATTTTTAATTTCAAACTGTACCTCTTCCCTTCCTTGATGTCTTTCTTCCCTTCCTTACACTTTCTAATGTAAAAATCCCCGAAGGACAAGAGCCTAAGCACAACTTTAAAAATATTTCTATTTTAATTACGTATTTTATTCATGCAGCTGTCTGATGTGATCATATTATATTATATGCTGCATACAGCAGCTTCTACATAATTTATACTGTTGCACAAAGATATCATGTTCCTTCAGATATGTGATAAACCTGAATTTAAGATGCACTCAAATTTTATGATTCAATTTAAGAATAAAATAAAACATCAAATAAAGACTCATTTACAAAAATACAAATTCAGCAGCATAGATAAGAAATTTTGTGTTAGGAATTTTACGACAAAATCAAATTTAAGACGTAAGCCATTTTTAGAAGAAATATTGATTTTTTTTTTCTTTTAAGTGTCATACTCAGAGGAATAAAGTAATAGCCAATCCTCCCATTAAAAATTTGTAATACAAATTGCCTTCTAATACATTTCTTATATGCTCAAAGCATCATATGTTGTACAGTGCTAGGTGCTGTCTAATGACTGATGTGCATTATGTTCAGTAATAGTCAAGGAGTAAAAACCGACTTGACGTTTCACATGAATTGATATCTGCTTTTACCTTTCTTTTTTAATCCCAGCTAGTTTAAAATTCATAGATTCTCTATCTTTTGATCCCCAATTTGTCAAAAAGGACACTTTCTACCCTAATCGTATGCACTGTGTCACAGTTGGCCAAATAAAGATACCATGTTGCATAAATATGTGATAATGATTTTTAGTATATCAGTTTAGATGGAGACTGTAAAAGTTTATTATCTTTTCAAATCATCCAGTAAAGAACAATATTGGAGGCAGAGAAAACAGCTGGATAGACTTTTAAACTCAGGTGATGTTTAGTTCTATTAACTGAAATCTGGCAAATTAGCTTATTTATACAATCTTCATTGCTACTTATTTGCATTTTCACAGACTTGCATTTTGCATATTGGCTTCTATTCCATCCAGGAGAACACAAAACAACAACAGACTCTCCCTACGCTCAAAGAAGGGTGTTTGTGCCCAAGAGCTTGGAAAGAACAATTTTTCCAACTATTTAGTTGGTTTAATAAAATATATCACATTTACCTAAAAACCTTGTCTGCCTGTGTCCTTAGACCAACATGGCTACAACCAACAGCCCCAAAACAGAGTTAGAGAAAGACATTCCTGAATTTCAGGTGAACTTGATATAAGAAGATTTTGCCTCTTCCAGACTAAAAGTGATTACAGTGAGTCTCTAAAAAATATGGGAGGAAAATCTAGCAGCTGATGAAAAGCTAACAACAACATATTGGGTGTGATGAAAACGTCTTTATGTAATGATTATTTTTATTAGTTTATTAACATAATTGCTGGGAGCCCTGCTCACCGTTGTGCTAAGCACTCTAAAAATGCAAATAAAAATAGTAGCAATAATTTGCTTATTTCTTAAATGTTTGTTTAACCAGCTTAGTTATCCTAGCTGCTGTATTCTTCTTTCACGTTTATGGGGGGGAACACAGACTCTCCAGAAGGAATTCTGACTCTCCAGTTAGATAGAGGCTGTGATGTTATGCTTGCTTTCCTCCTTCTATTGAAGAGCAGAGTGGAGGATATTTGGTTTTTCCCACACTTCTGGGCCTGGTGATTGCTAGGGGTGTGCAAAATGAGCCCTATTCGATTTGGATTCAGCCCAAATCAGGGACAGTGATTCGATCCGTTGATTCGGATGATTCCCTGATTCGATTCAGCTGAATCTGAATCCGACGATTCAATGCTGATTCAGCGAATCAGCGATTTGGACACAGGCACAGCTTTAAAAGTTTTTCCTGCATACCTCGAGGTAGTAGCACGGCTCATGATCACTGCGGTGCTGGGGCACATGGAGCATCCTACAACAGCACGGGGGGCTCTCCAGCGTGTTTGGCAGTGAACCCAGAAGTGGGCCGGAAGTACTTCTGGTCCACTTCTGGGTCTACCGGGGAGTGCACTGGGGGACCTCCCCGTACCCACCCAGCTTAGCAGTCAGCCACAGGGGACCCTGGGTGCCCCCCCAGACCCAGGACACACCAGTCACCAAGCCGGGGGGACCCCACAGCACGCTCCCCACTGGACCCGGAAGTGCTTCTGGTCTACTTCCAGGTCTGCTGAGCGCACTGGGGATCCCCCCCGTGCATCTGTGGAATGCTACATTTGCCCCAACACTGCAGCATTCAGAGCCCCTGCTACTTAGAGGTATGTAGAAAAAACAAAGCTGTATCTACGTCTGAATCACTTAATCGATTTGGAGAGTTCTTAATCAATTCAGAGAGATTAAAGTGTTCTCTGACTCAATTTGGAGATTCAGCCACCGAATCAGGCTGAATCTCCGCCGAATCAAATCAGGGACCGAAGCTTCACACAGCCCTAGTGATTGCCACATGGGGCCAAGAAGAATTTTTCCCCCCACATTTGTTACAGGTGTTTTGGGGGGTGATATTATATCTATCTATCTATCCATCTCTCTCCCTACATATATGTACACACATATATACAGGCAGTCCTCAGGCTTATGATGCAACTGGTTCCTGAAAACTACATTGTAAGTCGAAACATCGTAACTTGGAACCAGTTTTCCCATAGGAACAATGTTATAAATGGGGAATTGGTTCCTTTACAACACTGGATATAGTTGCGTCCAGCTGCTAAGTCTGGTGTCAGAGAAAGGAAGGTGTGTGGGGGGGCAGATCAAGGTTCCCCGTGGTGAGGGAGGGTCTGGGGCTGCGGCAAGTTGCTTGTCTGGCAGCTCCCACCCCTCATCTGTGAGGGCATTGGTGGGGTGGGGGGGGGTCACGTACCCCTAGATCTGCACGGGCCGGACTGGCCGTGCATTGGGCTGTGCTGGGAGTGGATGCTATGCCCTGCTGCTTCTCACCCAGCCAGGGTGGGGCGAGCGTGGAATGGGGCCTCTGTGCTGCCTCCAGACAAGCAGTGTATAGTGGCGGGAGCCACCCCCCCTCCTGAATGAGCCGCAGTTCCATCCTGCCTCTCCCCTGTCCTGGCTGTGTGAGCGGTGGCAGGGCATTGCAGGGGGAGGGGCAGGTGCCCCCGGATCAGGGTGGGTGGCGGGGTGGGGAGCCAAGCGGAGGCTGGGGGGGGGCATAGTCTCTCCATAGGCCTTGCCACTCACCAGAGCGCAGCCTGGTGCAGTCCCAGCACTGCTTGCCCCGACCTGATCTGGGAAGCACATGCCTCCCCCTCCCTCCCATGCCCTGCTGTTGCTCCCCAGCTGGGGCAGGGTGGGCACAGGACGGAGCTGTGGGGTGCCGGGTGGTGGGGGCAGCTCCTGCCTCTGCGCGTTACTTCTCCAGAGGCAGCGCAGTGGCTCTGTCCCATGCACGCCCCAGCTGGGTAAGCAGCAGCGGGGCGTAGCCCCTGCTCCCAGCACAGTCCAGTGCAGCCCCGGGCCCCACCAACTCCATTCCGCCACACATTGATCTGGGGGCACATGCCCCCCCCCATGTACACCTGGACAAGGGGTGGGAGCCTCTGGATGAGCAACTTGCCCCAGCCCCTCCCTCACCGCAGGGGGCTTTGATCTGCACACCCCCCACACATCTTCTCTTCCCCCTCCTTTCACCACACGACAATGCTGTATCCAGCATCATAAAATCGAAACCCACATCGAGTGGGAAGGTTGAAACAAGGTGTCAGTTTATAAACGTCTTAAGTGGCATTCATTGTAACTCAGAGTCGTAAGTCAAAGACTGCCTATATAACATATATACACACACACATATGAATATAACGCGCACACGTGTGTGAGTGTATATACACACATACACACATATATTTTTATTTTTTGCCTTTATATAGAGAGTTATATATATATCTATATATAGAGAGAGCCCTATCTATCTCATATATATATCCATATCTATCTAAATATATATATGTATATATATAGAGAGAGCTATCTCTATACATAGATATATATATCCATATCCTACTATATGTATATCCGTATCCATATCTATCTGTGTGAGTGTGTGTATGTGTGTGTATATATATATGTGTGTGTGTGTGCGTTATATTCATCTGTGTGTGTGTATATATGTTATACAGGCAGTTATATATATGTGTGTATACATATACATATATATGTGTATATATATATATAGGAGAGTTGGGTGTTCATTGCAATCAAAGCTGTGGAATTTCACTGGGTTGTGCCACTGCTTCTGCTGGGACTAAAACCTGGTAGTCTTGCCTGCCCACTCAAGGTGAAACCAGTCTTCACATTAGGGATCAAGAAAGAATGTCACCCCATGGCCAATTGGTATGGACTATGAAGCTTTTGTCATTTTTCTGTAGTAGGGAACAGAGTCCTTTTGGATCTCTCAAATGCATTTTAACAACCTTTATAACAGAGGGATACTGACAGCCATCATTCCCCTGCTTTACCTGTGGCGTTAGGGTACTTTTGATGTCTCTGGGCAATATGCCTTGAAGTTGTGTGATATGCTTGATCTGTGTTAGGAATAAGTTAGACAAGAACTTGTACGGGATGGTTTGGCAGAGTGTTGGATCTAATTCTTTATAAGGGGAGGAATAGTATAACTTCAGTAGGGGTATAAGCTTCCCTTTTTGTTTTGAGGTCCATAGTCCTGTTTCAAGACTTCTTGTAAAAAAAGATATTGCATGGGTAACTGCAGTATAGTGATGCTGCCAGCAAGGTAGCGAGGCACCCTTAATTTTTGTCAAGTAAGTAATATTTGTAGCAGTTCCTATATAAAACCTTCTGCTTTGAGATGATGAAAGAGAGTAGGGAAGAAAGTATCAGTTTTGATTCCTCCCTCTTAGCAAAGAAATAAAGGGCAATATTGATATCACCATTCAAGGCCCCCTCCCTATTGATATTTCATACTTCCCCATCTCCGGCATCTCATGGAGGCTTATTTCACTGAATCTTTCATACGTCTGTTCCTTTGAGTAATGCCAAGCCAGATGTTTTCATATTCCTACTTGCTAGTCTTGAAGGGATTCAGTCACTGAGTATCCAGGCACCAGTGTCTACCTGTGGCTGCTAGCTCCAGGCCAATGAGTTGCCTAGGAAGCAGTCTCCTGTGATACAGTGCAGGAATGATCATTAAATGGGGAATAATTCACCTTTAATTCTGGAGGTGGAGGGATCCCTATGAATATGTCCTCTACTCAGCATAACCCAAAGAAGCTCTTCAGGAGGGTGGTAAGCAATTAGGATTTCTTTCAGTTTTTTGAATATGAGGTGGACCAAGAAGCACTGGTAGAGTACCAGCATCTTTGACTGTTTGAGTAAGTCATGGGCATAAGAGGTAATCCTCAGTTTCTCCTAGAGACATGAAATGATTCCTTAGAACATATCCTAAACTTAATTCCATCTTTTTATGTGAAGACTATAATAGAGAAAGATAATTAAGATCACCTGCAAAGAAAAACCACCTACCTTCCTATTCATTTCAAATTCGGTGAGCTTCTAGCTTGTTTTTAAGCTTGTTATGGCAAAGAAGAGGGCTAAAACGTTGTTAATTGAGGTACAAGTTTTTCTTTATAGTATTCTGTGGCTAGAACTAGCAGAAGAACTTGAGCAAGCATCTTCAAACTAAGTATTCTGTTGGGAGGTCATTTGTAACTTCAAGGTGAACATGACATCAGATCTTTTGAAGTGTGATAACATTACTGAAGATTCCTATGTGTTGTATGCCTGAAGGATAGCTCCAAATATCAGATTTAAATGATGTTAGTTCATCTTGCATGCGTATCTACTGTTCCATCAGTCTAGTACTAATGAGTAGTCTTCATCCCATGCTAAAGAGATCTTATGTTTGAGTTTTTCATCCTTCAAGCACTGTGACAGCTCTCCTGGTGCTACAGCTAGCCATGGATTGGGCCTACTCATCTGTCTCTGCAGAAGTGTTCCCCAAACTTTCAATAGCTGAGCACAGGCTTTTATAAAATTGCCCACACGCTTCACTCTTTCACCCAAAAAGGTGTGTATGTTTTTCTGAAAGGATATGGAGGGGGGCTGTACCTCTGGGGGTAAGGGCAGCCCTCACGGCTGAGGTTGTTCCTGCAGGGTCTCATACACTGGTGATCACTCCTGTGGCTCTTCCTACCAGCATAGAGAGTGTAGAGGAGTGAAGGGGATGAACAGGGCTGCAAAGTGCAGCATGTCTGCCCACTTGCAGCAGAAGGCACTGCTGGGAGCAAGTGGGGCGGGGAAGAAGAGCAGGTGCCACTGGAGTAGCTGGAGCATGTGTGGGGTGCTGGATGGATGAGGTGAACATTCACCTCCATGCAGAGGGATCACAGCACACCCCAATTGGACTTTTGGCACTAGCATGCTGTGGCACACTTTGGGAATCGCTGCTGCATAGAAACGAACTCAGGGGCTTTGTAAAGTTCCTGTTGTAGCCCCTCCATCCAGGCAAGAATTCTGGCCCCTTGCCCTCCTCCTCCTTCCAGCCTAGTGGGGGTTCTGAGAGGACTCAAGGACAGGGTTTCTGGAAAATGGAGCTTTCTCCTTTATTTAGTGAATCTTCATTTCTGTGGATAGAAAAGGAAGGACTGAGCAGTTCAGTCAGGCAGTCTCCCTCACATGCTGGTAGAAAAGAGAAAAGGAAATGCCCTGTTCTCTTGAAATCCCTCGGACTGATAGATGATTAGGTAGTCACTGTCAGGGTGATAAAACTACAGGTAAGGAGATTCATCTTATTGTTTTACATACATATTTCAGTCTATTATACTTTTAGTCTAGTTATACTCTTACACTGTTGGTTCATCCACCTCATGCATTGCTGAAGCCCTTGCTAATTCTTATAAGATACAGAGAATACGCTGAGCAGCTTGATTAGTCAGGGGTCTGACTATGCATATCTGAACTATGCAAATCTTTATAAATGCTTATTTGGAATTATCTTTTTTCACGTGCATCATTTTTTCATCCTGCCGTTATGCTGTGTTAGCACTTTCCTGCCTTATTTTTATATTTAGCTAGCAAAATTTAACTTGCTTGCTTCTCTTTTCTTGTTCTGTTATTGTTCTCAGCCTGCTGACCTAACAACTACAACTTCTACAGCTTCCCTCTTAAAAATCAAACATAGTGGAAAAATAAACTCTTCATCATTAACATATTTTATATTAGCAACCTATAAAAGAGCTTATTTAGAGTCCAGTATTAAATCCTGTCTTGGGAAAATTTGGTTTGTGCAGATGGGGAAAGGAAGCCTTTCCATTTGTTAAACTTGGATAAGTATTTCCTTGGTTAAATATTTTTCACCCTTATGAAATTCAACATTTCATACCTTTTCTTGCTTTTCTGTTCAAAAGTTACCTGTGTAGATGTGCACATGCACATACACATACATGCACCCACACAGTTCATTGCAAGGCTGCTTGTACATTGCAAGTTTTGTCTCTGTTCTGTCAATATACTAAATTTAATTTAAAAAGGATCATCAGACCTCTGGTTGCATTCAGCTGAAAGGTATCAGTAGCTTTCTCTACCCCAATGTCATTGCTTTGATTGGCAAAAGCAGTATACCTCCTTGTCATGAATTTAAATTCACTAACTTGTTTGGCAGACTTTAATTTGAATTCACTAACTGTAATAGGCAACGCTAACACGTTTTTGTCATTTAGAAAACCAGCCATTTTTCTGACAGGAGATTTGGTTGGATCTTTTTTTTTAATGAACAATTACGAACATTTAGTAAACTTTAAGGCATTTATTTGTATTAATACCAGAGAATGCCTCAAATGATGATGATTAAAGTTACAAAAAAACTTTCTTCTGGAGATAAATACATGCACTGTTGTCATGTTACTGATTTAATTTTTGAATAATACTCTAAAACATGTAATAATTAGCAAAAAATCTTAGTACTCCAAGAACACATTTTTAGGCGGAGGAAACGTCTATGCATTCTGTTATACTAGAGTGACTTCCTAGTTAAAAGGTATCATTTCTTCTCCAGGAAAAAGATTCTTCTCAGCACAGCCCACAGATAGAAAGAGAGATTAAAAACAAAACCAACATGAGCAAAGAGATGGATAATGTGACTGCATCTCCTGAACCTTGTGCAGCAAAGAAAAATATTGCAATTACAGAAAGTCTAGATGAAAAAGCAGAAGCAATTTGCTCAGCCTTGAGCAAACCTCTACAGAAAAAGCAAGCTCACCTTCAGAACAGAGAAAACATGCAAGAAGACAGCATCTCTCTCAACTCACCTGAACATATTCACCAAACCAAACCTGTTTTGATGGCAGCGACAGTCCAGAACATAGAAGCTAGCATTGCTCATACCTCTATAGAGAATCCATTAAGTTGTACAGCTACAGTTTTGCAAGTTGCAGATCCTAAATACTTGGATTCATCTTTAAAATTTCAAAACACAGTTGGAACAGTTGCTGATTATCCAACTGAGCACCCCAACTCACATATGGCAGGCTGTTCTGTGGAAGTACAGCCATCAAGTGAAAATGCAGTTTTATTCAGTACAATCACACAAACTATTGAACAACTTAATGGAAATGAAGAATCTGTTATTGCTATCATTGTACCAGCTGAGAGTTCAAAAGAGTCTGAGATGGTAAATACTTCTTTCATGCCTATTAAACAGGAGTTCATTGACATGGAAGAAATAGAAACTGAAAAATCTGTATATATAAGCAATTTTGGGGGAACTGAAGTATTACAAACTGAGCATTCTTATTGCAAACAAGACATAGACAGAGATCATCTCTGGCAAAAAATTGCAAAGCTGCATTCTAAGATAACACTCCTTGAAATGCAGGAGATAAAAACTTTAGGTAGGCTCAGGTCCCTGGAAGCTCTCATTGGACAGCTAAAGCAGGAAAATCTTCTTTCAGAAGAAAAGCTCAAGATTGTAGAAAACTGCTTCACAACATTTGAAGTGACTATGATACAATAAAAGCTTTAAATGGCATGGCTTTATCATGGCATTTTTCAGCCTCTTTGACTATCCTTCTGTATAAAGTAACCCTAGTTTCTGTGATATTTTAATGATAAAATTCAAAAGTGCTTGTGTAACAGGTTCTTAAGAGTTGTCACCCACTCAGCCAAAGCCTAGTGATAAGCTACTGCCCACAAACATGAATCATAGCCAAACAAATTTAAATGAAATTATTTGAAATACAAAGTGGAATAAAAACGAGGGAAACTTTCCCAGATGCAAGCTTATCTGAAATATGTACGCCTTAGTTTAGACAACTGTGCAAGTTAAGTTGTAAGCACAGCTGTGTAGGACAAACAATAATACAAGAGTAACTCAACTTGCCCCATTCTTTCACACCAATAGAAACTGGTTAGAGTTACTGCTTCTTCAGCATTGTTCATTGAGGCCATAGTTGCCGTTTATCTCCTCTTTCATCATTAATTCTAGTGGCTTTTTGTACAGCTTGACCTGATTAAAATTTATGTTTCTATAATAAATGCAGTTTGTCCTCTTATTTAGTAAGCATATTGGTTCTAATAGTATTCTCTTCTCCAGTATGAATGTTCTTAACTGAACTTCATCATCAATGGGGTACAGCTATTTTTCAGAAAGCTGGAATTTATGTAGCCCAATTCAAATTACGGTGTCTTAGCTTGTAAAAGACAAAGTTTGAAATATGTGAAGTAAGTATTTAGTGGCAAGAAGACTTTTTCAACTTTCTGTTTTCCAACATAAAGCAGGATTCTGCCATCCTTAGGTTGAGTAATACCTTATTAGTAGATTGAAGAAGAGAAGACTTATTTGTAGAAAAAGCTATTTGTGAGTGGGGGTGGTACAGCCTGGTTCAGAGTTCTCTTTTTACCTTACTTGTCAGGAATAGAGTTCTGAAATTGGAGTATTTAACACTGCTTGAAGGCTCTGATTCTGATTACAGCACAATGATGAGAGAACAGAAAAAATGCTAAGTTGCTGTTGATCGCCCAGGGAAATCATAATTCACATCTAAGCTTAGGTTTTTAAAGGTATTTAGGGGTTGTGTTCCACTGAACATTGTGATGCTTAACTGACTAAGGTTCTTAACTTTCATCTTCAAAAGTGACTTCATTACATTTTCTTGAGTACATTTATGGGAAAGAACTTGTTTCAATATCTACGAAGTGAAAATGAAAGGGGTTTGGGCAACTTTGTTAGCCCAGCACATGCAGTTACCTCCTTTCAGTCTTCCTGATTGACTGGGTGATACTGTTATGTCAAATTAAACATCTTAAATACCTGTAAATTATTGTTGTCCTCCCCCTTCACACCATCTTTCTGTATGTTTCCTACTCAGCTAGGTTTTGAATCCTATGTCTCACTATTCTGCTGAAATGTATGCTATTGAGGCTGCTGCTGTTGACATAGATATGTAGCTTTCATGGAGGAGTGTCACAGCGCTCCCTTAAGCTTCCCTTGGCTATAGGTTTACTAGGCTGTGTGCTCTTAACTTTTTCTCTCAGTAAGTTGCAGTGATGTCTCTTTCCTGGGAACAAGCTGTCCATGAAT